ACCGTAAATTAGATTTGGCATTACAAATTTTTTGCCACCGGAGAACCAACACTAAAAGAGAGAAGTTCCCTGAAACTTTGGCATTTGAATATGGTACGTATTTTTATCAGAAATTGTTGAAAAATGGCAAAAACCGTGACAATGCTAAAATTTTTTCGCATCCTTTGCTAATTATTAACAACAAAAATTATTTTTTATACAATTTTTATATAAAAAATGCAAAATAAGGTTGCAAATCGCAAAAACCCAAGAAAACCTAAAATCCAAGATAGCGAAATGTTCCGGTATGAAATTTAGGGGCGAGACTGTTGATCCATAATCTACGTATCAAATAGAAGTAAACTGCATCAAAAGTTCGCTGCTACAATTTTTTTCTTCGTACCAATTTGATCCATATTTACTTGGCTAAAACCTAACTTCTGAATACCTAGAAAATTGTAATTTTACGTGGAAAAAACCTTAATAACTTTAAAATTTGGGGAGGTTTAAAAATGGTTAGTCATATTTGACATCGGGGGGCAAAAGTACATCAAGTGCCATTACAATAAATTAAATTTCCCACTGACTCATAGGCAATTTTTACCACTTTGTGAAAGATTTCATGAAAATGCTGAACTTTAGGGACTTTCGAGGCACGTCTTTCCGTTGTCCGATTATAAAAATTTTTGGCAAGGCACGTTGTTATGATCGAAGGAACATTTCTTTCTGTGTAGCTTAACAGAAATTATCTCCATACAACTAAGGCGCAGGCTAATGTGCAGGCATGGGCAGAGAATGAATGGTATTCTTGGTTGTTACGAATGACTTTACATAAACTTCTATATTTCTACGTACAAAATTGTTTTTATAAATTTTTAAATTTCCAAAATTCTACTTTGTAAAGTTCAAACGCTTCTACAAAAAGATTTTAAAAGTTCTATAATAGCCCTGACAGATATATGGATTGCACACCATGGTATGCATACTATGGATTTTGATACTATTTCGATGTGACAGACGTATAGTACGCATATCGATGTTTTGTTAATTTAACTTTGTTTCTTTTCTTTTCTAGCAGATGATTATCAGGAAGAAGAATGGGAAAATTGAGAGAATTACGCTCGCAGAGAACGAAATAAATAAATACTAAAGAAACGCAAAACTAGCAAGTAAACAGTTTCTTACGCAAACGTCAAGCTGTGAAGCTGTGTTTTTCTGTGATCTGTCTAAATTTTGTGTTTGATAAAGCTGTTTACGCTTATTAAAGTAAAAAATTAAAAAAAGTGTTAATAAACTTCTGGTGCACAATTTAAAGATAAGTAAAACATCAAAATTTCCCGTAAATTTGATTAATTTAACTTGATATTCTTAATTGCATGTGCCGAGTATTTTGTTTCATATAATATATTGTTGTTGTACAATTGTTTTTGTTTGTGCACATTGATTTTGCTCTTTTTGTCTTTTTGTCATTTCTGCTGTTTCATCTTTGTCACAGCTGTTTGCGTTGTGTTTATTAGGTGTCAAATATACAGTGCATCTAAAACTGTTCGCTAACTGATATTTACCAGCTGATTGGTTCACTGATTAATACATCGTTTTCAAAACCGTTTTTGCTTTTTTGCTTCTAAAACCTAAAAATAAATATAATTTTAAACATGTCGTGTATTTACACCAATTGCCACGTTAAAAGCGACTCCTATGTGTCATGCTGGCTCTGTGATGGGATTGCCCATATAAAATGTGCTGGTTTGAGCGGTAGAGTTTTAGACGCTATTAACGAGGGTAAGGGTCTTCGTTGGTCTTGTCAAAAATGTAGATCAACCGAAGTTGATTTATTTAAATTCTTCAGGCAGTCCAGAAATGGTTTTTCTGAGATCGGAAAGGATCTGTCGGCGCTTGTTGAGAAATTTAAGCATTACGAAAAAATGTTTAGGTCTTTCACTTGTCTCGACGACCCTCCACACTCTGAGGATAGCCGAGAAAATAAAGGTGGGCATGTTATTAGTCCACCTAAAAAGACAGCCACGGATTCTAGTAAAAAAAATCCTCCATCCCAGTCCTTAGAACTTATTAATTTATCTTCTCCATGCCCTCAGGCATTGGAGCCTCCGATTTCTAAAGCCATATCCACTAGGTCTACTTCTAAAAATAGTCAAACCGTTGATTTAACAGTGTTGCCATCAACATCTCAAACTCCACTCTCTAACGTAGTTCCTCCGAATAATTCGGAGCCCCGCACATCAGACATCATTACCAAAAAGTTGGTTGTAATTCCTCCGAGAAAATCAATCTTTGTCTCTAGATTTGCTAAAGATACTTCTTCGGATGATATAAAGTCATACATATCGACTAAAATTAGAACTAAAGATGTATTTATTCGTAAATTTAATTTTAAATATGATCGCGATATTTCATCTTTTAAAATTGATGTAGCTTCCGAAGATTTTGATTCACTACTAAATAGTTCATTTTGGCCGACCGGGGCGTTTGTTCGCGAGTTTGAGTATAAACCTAATAAAAGTAATAATAACGTAGCTAAAATTTCTAATCTTAATTCGGATTCAAAAAACTAACTCGCAAGTCTAAAGTCTAAAGTCTAGAAGGCCTCTATTAATCGGTGTGATCCCCTAGTTTTGCCGGAAGATGCATACCATCCTGCTCTTGAGTTAAGCTACGAAATCATAAATGAAATACATAATAATAAGTCAAGTTCAAGTACTAGATATGTTTTTGCGAAAGCAAATTTCAGGAAAATTAACAAAGAACTTTCAAAATTATCTTGGCCAATATATAGAGATGACGTGGAGCGTAGCGTTGAGCACTTTAATGATACTGTTTTCAATTTGTTTCGAAAGTATGTGCCAATACGTAATATTGTTCATGAAGAACCAATACAATTATGGTTCACTAAAGAGCTTTAAAAATTGAAAAATAAAAAGTCGCACTCTTTTAAACTGTATAAAAGAACGGGCTTACACAGTGATTACCTAAAGTACTCAGTTTTGCGGCATAGCTACTTTGCATTAAATAAGAAATGTTATAATTCATATTTATGTAAAATTAAGAAGAATTTAATTAACAATCCTAAATCATTTTATGGTTTCGTAAATTCAAAGCGTAAGGCACATGGTTTTCCGTCCGCTATGCATTATCGCAACACTGTATCTAGCGACAGCCAACTCATTGCCAACATGTTTGCTCGGTTCTTTAGGTCCAATTATTCTGTAGACTTCCCTATAAGTGGAGACTATCCGTACGAGCTTTGTCCAATCAACTCTGCTTATATTCCAGTAATATCTTCCGATGAAGTTTTACACTCTTTAAAAACCTTAAAAGCGTCATTTAGGCCTGGACCTGATCATATTCCGACCTGTTTTCTTAAAAACTGCGCTGAGAACATCTGCGAGCCTTTAACAACTCTATTCAATTTGTCACTTAAACATGGCGTTTTTCCGTCAGCCTGGAAGGAGTCTTTCATAATACCACTTCACAAAAACGGCAGCAGGTCGTCTATAGAAAACTATCGAGGCATAGCGAAACTCTCCGCTATCCCCAAATTATTCGAAGCAATTATTGTTAACCAGCTGACATATTCTATATCTTCTTCAATTACACAATCTCAACACGGGTTTTCTAAAGGAAAATCTACTATGACTAATTTATTGGAGTTTACAACTCATGTCTCAAACGGTTTTAGAGAAAATGCTCATACCGACGTAATTTACACCGATTTCAGTAAAGCTTTTGACAACGTATGTCACTCGTTACTCATCCGTAAACTCGACCTAATCGGCTTTCAGCCCAGTCTTCTTCAATGGATCTCATCTTACCTCTCTGATAGAACACAAAGAGTTATTGTTAATAATTGTTCTTCCAACATCATGAAAGTTTATTCAGGAGTTCCTCAGGGAAGCCACCTTGGTCCGATTCTGTTCCTGATATTCATTAATGATATTTCTTCTATAATAAAACATTCAAAAATTTTAATGTATGCCGATGATGTGAAACTTTTTAAAACATTGTCTTCTATCGAAGAAAGGTCTCTGTTACAAGCGGATCTGAACAACGTGGTTAGTTGGTGTAATACAAACTATATGCTACTAAACCTTCAAAAATGTAAAGTTATGTGTTTCTCTCGGAGGGCTGTTCAACCAGCTGTTTATTCAATATCAAATTATAATCTGGAGCAGGTATCCAATTTTGTCGATCTTGGTATCACAATGGATTCCAAACTGAATTTCAACCATCATATTAATGTTACAGTCAATAAAGCCAAAGGCGTTTTTGCATTTGTAAGGCGATGGTCAAAAGAGTTCAAAGATCCTTATGTTACAAAAGCTCTTTTTACCAGTTTAGTTAGACCTATACTAGAATACGGATCTATTGTTTGGAATCCCCGCTACCAAGTTCATTCAGAAAGGATTGAATCAATTCAAAAACAATTCTTGCTTTTTGCATTGCGTAATTTTAACTGGGATTCAGATTACAATCTCCCCCCTTACACAAGTCGTCTAAAGCTCATAAATTTGCCTACACTCGCAAGTCGTAGAGAAATGCTTGGTATAATATTTATCGTAAAATTAATGACAGGCTGGATTAATAGCCCGGCCCTCCTGGCTGAGGTAAATTTTAATGTTCCTTCTCGAATGTCAAGACACTTTTGACCTCTATTTTTAAAGCCATGCAAAACTAATTTTGAACTAAACGAATCATTCCGTGGTTTATGTCAAGATTTTAACTGTCATTCCAGCACGTTTGACGTATCGGACTCGATTTTTACTATAAAGAAAACTATTATTTCCACTCTCAATAATTGAAATACTATCTTTAGCATATCCAATCAGCTGATGAATTTGATTCTGTAGCTGAATAGTTTTAGATCTCGACACTTAACAAACTCCTGTTTCCACTACTCGGCACGAAAAAACTAAAAAAAAAAAAAAGGTTCCGTACGTCATGCGGACTGCGCCCCTCGTGTCGGTTGGGCGGGAATGGAGGGTAAAAAGCCGTTGGGATTAATTAATTAATTAATTAAAAAAAATCTGTGTATTTGACAATTGAATATATTTGGCGCGAGTTTTTGTTTATTTATTTTGACAGCTACAATTTCTGCTAGTAAAATTTTTACTAACCAAAAAAGCAGAGCGTAAGAACGAAAGAGGGCTGTTAGTTTCTGCTAGTTTTCTGGGTTAAGAAACGCTTTCCAGCAGAAACTAGTGATAGTTATCCGTAAAGAAACATAGCTTTTATCACAAACGTCATTTTGGGTCTCAGAGCTTTTATTTTAGCTGTGTTTCATGCTTTACTCGCTTTATACCACGTTTATATTCGTAGTATAGGAACCAGCTTTAATAATAATAATCCCAACGGTTTTACCCTCCATTCCCGCCCATCCGCACGAGGGGCGCAGTCCGCATGACGTACGGAACCAGTATTTTAAATTTTTGCGCCGAGTCACGATAGGCAGGAGTTTGTTAAGTGTCGAGATCTAAAACTGTTCAGCTACAGAACTAAATTCATCAGCTGATTTTATGTCTTTATGTTAATAATTCATTTATTGAGAGAGGAGAGTACCGCTTTCTTAATACTGAAAAGCGGATCTGATATATCAAAAATGCTGGAATGAGAGTTCAAATCCTGGCATAAGCAACGGAGTGGATCGTGCAATTCAAAATTAGTTTTACAAGCTTTCAGAAATAGGGGGCAAAAGTGTCTTGATACCCGGGAGGGAACATTAAGGCTAACTTCACCCAGAAGATTCGGACTTGAAATTGAGCCTGTCAGTAATTTAACTATAACAAGTAAGAAAGTCTAAGTTCGGGCGGAGCCGAACATTAAATACCCGGCGCAAGTGTTAAATATATGTTTTTTCACCCTTCCGAAACCTTCCGCTAGATGGTAAGCCGAGGTGTATCAATTTTGAGTAAATTAGCGTCCTTCAATTTCGAAATATTGAAGTTTCAAGCATTTCTTAAATTTACCGTTATATGAGAATCGGCCGTTATTTTAGTCCGATTTCAATAATTTTCAACGTTTTGCTTACACGTGGCAAGTGCAATAACCATACCGAGTTTGGTACAAATTGGTAGAACGGTTA